TTGAGAGAACTTATCCAAGCTAAAATCTAGAAAAAGGGAAAGACAGGGTTGCACAAGGAATATAGTTCAAAAGTCATGAATCTCCAGTGCCTGGATTCCAGGTTAGCACCAGGGCTAAGATACTTGGTCAAGCCACTTAACCTCGATGAGGCCCAATTCCTTTACTCCAAAACCAAAAGTCAAAGAGAGAATCTAATTTTTCTATTTAGGTAACTAAAAAGAAACGGTCTCATTTCCTCTATCCTCTAAAGTTACCCTCACTAAAAGGGAGCCCACATTTTCTGAATCTAATCAATAGGATACTGTTGAACAAAAACAAGACTTTCTTAAAAGCAAGAACTCCATTCTGCAGTTATGATCCCCAAATCTAACTTTTAATCTCAAATGACAATGGCAAGGAGAAAAGCTGTCACAACAACTTACGGTGACATGGGGTGGGAAGTGTGACAGACTGGACCATTTTATATACAGGTGGTTATCATTCACAAAAAGTATCACCCCTTTTCATCTTCTTTAAAAAAAAAAAACAAGTCTAGACATGGAAGAACCACCAACTTACAGAAATCCTACCAAAATTCAGAGCTCTGGAATCTAACTTTACCATGCTGGTCATCTAGGCTCTTCAAATCGCATCTAAGAATAGTAATGGGATATTCAAACATCAAAGAAGAGGCATAGGTTTTATGCAACACCATTATTCTGTTAAGTTCTAGGACCAAATCACTTTACAGAATAATCTTTGCTGCCCTGTCCTATAGAAAAGAGTCTCCCAAAGGTTCTTAAATGAAATCAGCAAAAAACTTAGTTCCTATTGGTGCCATAATAAACTGCCAAATACATACATTTATTTAAGCAGTTTCTGTAGGCCAGAAGTCATGTGGGCTTGACTAGGTCTTCTTGCTTAGGGTCTAGTAAGACCAGAAAACAAGGTGAACACAGAGCTGTGTTCTTTGTTGAAAACTCTGGGGGAACATTTGCCTCCAAGCTCAAGACTGTTGGCTAAATTTAGTTCCTTGAGGTTGTGGGACTGATGCCCCCATGTCCTTGCTGGATGTCAACTGGGGCTGCCTGCATTCTCATACTTCAAATCACTTTTCTTGCTCCATCTCCGATTCCAGGTGGAGAAAATTCTCTGCCTGTAGGGGGTCATTTGATTAGATGGACCCACCTAGAAAATCTAGGATCATCTTTCTATTTTAGGACCCCTAAATCATAATTACATCTGCAAAGTCCCTTCTGCCACATAATATCAACATATTCAGGTTCCAGGGATGAAGACATAGACATCTTGGGGCTGGGTTCTCCAAACTACCACAGTCCACCAAAGATTTCTACCTCTCCCAAATGCAAAATACATACATAATCCTAAGGTCTCATTTCATTACAACATCAATTCAAAGTCCAAAACACTCATGTAAGTTCATCAGTTCAAAGGCCCCAAATCTCCTCATCTAAATCAGGTGAGGATTAGGCTCTGTGTGTAACACATTAAGTTAACTCCCCAAGCACAATTCCTTAAAAAAACAAAACAAAACAAAACAAAAAACTTTCCTGGTGGGAAGTGGTGAGGCAGGTATAGGGCAACAGTTAAAGACATTCCAGTTCAAACAGGGGAACAACAGATCCATTGGTCCAAAGCAGTTTCAAAATCCAGGAAAACTCTATTCCATTTCAAAGCCAGGGAAAATCTTGAGGCTTTCTGCCTCACTTTTCTGGGCTCTTGGTTCCACCTTCTGAATCAATCCCCCCCCCACCCCGCCCCAATTTTAATGAAAAACGGCTAGCACATTCACATCTGAGTAGTTTTATCAGCCTGCTTGGGGGGGGGGGGGCGAATCTGACAACTTTCTTTCAATCCAAGTTGGCACTGTCTGTGTTAGAATAAAATCTTCAAGAATCTAGTGGGTTTTACATTAGTTCCACAAGGGTTCATTCACCCCATCAGTCATAAACACAAATAAACGAGGTTGCACTTTGCTCAGAAATCTCCTCAGTTAAATATTCAAGTTCATCACCTGTAAGTTCTTTTTTTCCCATATAACCACAAGTCACACAAGTTTTATTTGCTGCTACGTAACAAAGATCCCTTTCCTCCAGTTTCCAAAGCATACCTCCCTTTTAACTGAGTCCTCACTAGCAGAGTCATTAGCATGGTAGTTCTAACAACTTGTTTATCAAACTCCTCAAATTTCTTTTGATTTCTACCCACTGCAGTTTCCACATTTTTAGATAACAGTACTCTACTCGTGGTATCAAAATCTATACCAGTGTTTCATTGCTACCTAACAAATTTCCATAGTAAGTTTAAATAGAAAATCAGTATCTCATAGTTTCTCTAAGTCAGAAGTTGTGGGCTTGGCTAGCTCTTCCATTTAGGGTCTCACAAGGTCCAAATCAAGGTGTATTCCTTGCTGAAAACTCAGAAGAATCCACTTCCAAGTCCATTCAAGTTGCTGGCCGAATTGTGTTCCTTGTGGTGGTAGGAATGGGGTTTCCATTTCCTTGCAGGCTGTCAACCGGACTGGTTTTTGCTACTAGAGCTATGAATTTCTTATGCTTTTCATATGGCTCCCTCTTGCAAGAGTGAAATGGGAATCAAGATCCCAATCTCTCTGATATTACCATCTCTCTTGATTCCCAGCTGGAGAAAGCTCTCTACTTTTAAGGGCTCATGGGATTAGACTGGGCCTACTCACAAAATCCAGAATAATTTTCCTATTTTAAGATTCTTAAACTCAATTACATCTGCAAAGTCCCTTTTACCTTGTAACGTAACATATTAACAACTTCTGGACTTAGAGTACAGGTATCTTTGTAAGGGGTCATTCTACCTCCTATAACCCAAATCCCATGTAAGGTTTCAAGCTCAGTTCCTAAAGAAAATCCCCCCCCCCCCTTTCCAAAAGAGTATGTGAAGGGCCTCGTAGGTGGTGCAAAGAGTTAGGTCTGAGCACTATCAACCTATTGGCAGCCACTGCAGCACATGTTTGATCCCTGGCCATGGAGCTAACCCACATGGCATAGCAGACCTCTCTTGTCTCATCCGCTGCTCCCCTCAGCAGTGCATTTCTGCCAATCCACCTGCTTTGCTCCCCACTCTATCTCTGGTGAATCCTCTCACCCCCTTCAACTCTGGCCTACACCCCAGTTCTTGTATGCATAAAAAATAAATCTTTGAAAAAAAAAAAAAAAGAGTATGGGAACTAAAGGTGTATGTTTAGAGACAGAGACAACTATAAAAGCAAGAACTCACCCTGGAAGAGCGGCTAGGCAACAGAAGAACTAAATATACACCGTGGAAGAGCTGCCACTTGTTCCATTCCCAAACAGCAAGGCAACACACCCATTACTCAGAAACTAACCCACTGTTACTCCTTTTAAATGTGTGCTCTTCTTCAGTATATTCTATATAAGAAACCATAACTAGGTGTTTTTTTAAAAACAAAAGTTGCCTCAGGGTGACCTGACTTTGTAATCAGTTGATCAATCAATCAATCTAAGCAAGCCTCCAATCTTTTCATTCTTTCTTCATCATAACCCTCCCCCAATAAAGTCATGGAAGGACAAACTGTAGGTGAATTTTTAAAAGTGACAGGAGATAACTAGTCTTGACCTCAGTCTTCAGCCAGAGGTCCAAGTCAGTTATGCCAACTGACTTACAAATGAAACACTAACAACTACAAAAATATTCTGAAGTCTTGCCTACTGTCAGATTTTTGACTCTAAGTTTTATGGAGAAACTCCAAAGGTACCAGCTAGTTCCCTGCTGACAACAGTGACCGCAAAATAAAATAAAGCTAGTAAAGATTTACTATCTGCCAGACACTGGCAAGTAACTGACACAAATTATCTTATTTATTCCATAGCATAAACTTATGATCGAGGACACAGTATCACCTCCACTTTACAGATAGGAAAACTGAGGTTTACAGAGGACGAGTTACATAACTAAGTAGACTTTGAGAACCCAGGCAGTCTGGTTCTTTACCAGTGGCCTATACCGCCATTTCTTAGATGGAATGAGGGCTCCAACTCTCAGGAAAAATCTTTCCTCCTCAGCTTTCTTTTCATTTCCTCTCCCTACCTCCTCCTCTTATAGAATTTAGCAGTTATAAAGGAATCAAGGCCTCCCAAATTAATCTGCCACCTCCTTTAGAGAACTCTTTCCCTTCCACTGTAATAGCCAAGGAGCAACTTTCCCTGACCGTGACTTTGCTTCCCCAAAATATAACTACAGAAGCTCCACCCATCACCTGCCTAGGTTAGAAATGTTTTAATGTTACAGAAAGCAAAACAAAACAAAAAAACAAAAACAAAGTCCTACTCTTCAAAAGGTCACAAACTAACATGTACACTTTCCCTCGATCTTCCCTTCCACATCCCTCTAGTTTCCACCCAGGCTCCTAACTAACCTTAACTCCAACTCCACCCGTGCTGCCCCACTTCGTGGTCCCCTCCCCCTATCTTCCCAGCGATCTCACCCGGGGTTCCTTCCACCTTGCACCCCTGTCTGCAGGTGGGAAAGACTAGTCACCCAAGGGACCCTTGGATGGCCCCCATTCCAGCAGCTCTGCTCCGCAAGGGGGTTCACCCCATCCTACCCAGCAGGCACCTCTCCCCTAGACACCCTCCCCTAGCATCCCCCTTCAGCCCCACCCCTCAACCTCCCTTCCCCCAATGGAGACCCCCCTCCACCAAGTTGTCCCTTAGTCCCCGCCCCAGTTCAGTCCTCTCCCCCGCAATTAGCCGGGCTCACGAGATCCAGAGCCCATCCTCACATCAGCCTCGGTCCCTAAGTCTCGCTCCCCGCCCTAGGGGATGGCCCTGGGCCTCACCGATGGGCTGCAGGGGCCTAGGCTGCTGTGTGTGAGGGGGGGCAGGGGGAAGGCGACGGGCCGCTCGGGAATCAGCAGGAAGCCTGAGGGGCGGCCGCGTCCCGCCGCCCCATCCTGGGCCCAACACCACTCCCCAACCATCTCGCCTGGAGGTTCCCAACGTACCTGTGGTGGAAGCGGCAGCGGCAGCGGCCGCTCTCCCCTCTCCTCACACAGACAATATGGCGGCGGCGGAGGAGGAGACACACGGCTCGGCCGCCAGCCGCAGGGACCAGAGCGAGGCTGGAGCCGCCGCTGCCGGAAGCGGAAACCCCCCGCCCTCAGGGAGGCGGGGCGGGACCTCTCGCCGACTCCGCCCCCCGCGGAATCTAGCAGGGTGCGGCCATGCTGGCGTGACCTATTGTAACCCTGAGGGTTCAGTTCCAGAGTAGGGTGTAAATGGCAGGAGCGCTCCGCGTAAAGCATCATAAGGGGTACTGCAATAATTAAGCGTGTTTTATTCAGTGCCTGTGCGAAATGACGAGAGGGAGAACACGAACTTCCCACGAGGTGTACAGTTGGTTTGACCCACGTTAAGATGGCGTTCCCTAGGTTTCCCGCACTTAACCCCGCCGGGGCGGCCCACCGCGCGGTAACCCGCCGCCTTTCTTGAGAAGAGGCATGCGCGACCTGCGGCGCTGCAGAGCGGGGCATTTTGGGAGTTGAAGTCTACGGTTCGCATCCCTCGTCTAGGGTTAGGGTTCCAGCGCATATGTTTTTTTTTTTTTTTTTTGCTCCTCAAACTTCTAGTTCAGAACAAGCGAACAAGAGTTGCAACCGTGAGTGGCGCAGAGTCCAGCAAGTGACTATACGAGTCCCTAGAAAACTAGTTTCTACAGAACCAATTCCTGCCACCTCCAGGAGTCCTCTCTAGAACTGCCCATCCAGAATAAAGCGTTTCTCCATTTGATCAGCTCCCCACCACCTTCCACTCTTTTTGCCCGGGGAACCTCCTCTAAGCCACCACGGTACATTTTCTACCGTGCAGATCGGTTCATGTCATCCTTTGGTTTAAAAATCGTCCGAGGCTCTACTTTGGTGACCCAAAATAGCCCAATTTCTTCTCTTCACATTCAAGTTCCTGCATAATTTGGACAAATTCCCTCCTTCCCCTTTTAGCCTCCTATCCTGTCCCTCCCCTCTCAAATTCCTGATGTTTTCACCCACCCACGAAAACTGCAGTCTTTCTGAAAACTTAGCTATTTTGCTTTCCTCCATTTCTGCTGAATATTCTGATGTTGTCACCCCCTGTACTTGGTAACTTCCCTAGTCCATCAAACTAATTCCAGGAGTCATTTCTTCTGGGGATATATCTTCCTTCCCTTGACACCCCCTAACTCCCAGCCACCATCATTTAGCAGCCTTACTAATCCCTAGCTTGCCTTCTCTATCAGATTGTGAGCCCCCAGTGGACAGGGCTGGGTCTGGTGATCAACTTATTCCCTACAGGCCCTGCTAAAAACTGGTGTGTGTAAGTGTCACAGAGAGATGCAAGTGTTAGCCTCACTCCTCGTGGGGCAGAGGTGTGAGGATTGGAACAAGGGTGAGGAGGCTGGGTTATTTTGGTACCAGCCATTATCTTTGAGCTTCCTCAGAATAGCTTCCTGGCCCAGTGATGGGGGCTCCCCACCCTCTCCAACCTTCCTTTCACAATTTGTCAGTTGACTGGCACCTTTGCTCCCAAATGCCACTCTCCTCCCCTGTGGAATGGGGGAGAAGGCATTTGCAGATGGCTGATGACCTAAGGGTGGTGTCTTTCACCCACCCTGTCTCCTGGGACTCATCTGCCAGACAGATCTGTGGCATTTGACTCCAGTGGGCTGGGGTTCCATAGAAGTGACTCTCTGAGCGCCTTCAGACTGGTCATTCCTCTTTTCTTGGCCTCAGTTTACCTACCTGTGGACTGAGGCATTTAGATAACATGATCCCAACATTTCTGTGAAGTCCTCTTCCAGGGAATGACTGACCTTCTTTCCACTTAGTTCTTGGACCATGTCTTTCTGGTCCTTGTGGCTCTTTCCCCTCACTACTTTTAATCATATTCAGTTCACAGCTACTAATGATCCAGACACTGCTAGATGCTGAGGTTGTGGTATGAACAAGATACCAGTTCCTCATGGAGCTTACCTTCTAAAGTCAGAAATAAGTAACATACAGAAATCAAATTCATAAACAAAGTAAGTTTAGGCAGTAATAAATGCTGTGAAGGAAAAGGTAAGTAGCCATGAAAAAAATGAAAAGGGGGAGAACTTTAGCTTGAGTCATTCAGAAGTTCACTTTGAGGAGAGAACAGTAAGTGCAAAGGTCCTGAGGCAGGAAAGACTGGTAAGTTTGAGAAAAGAGGCCAAGGTGTCTGAAGCACTATGGGGGAGAGTGGGGAGAGGGTAAAAAATATGGTGGAAGAGGTGGGCAGGCATTCAGGACATGGTAGGGAGCTCATCTGAGAAGAATGTGTTATACCCAAGGCTTAGCCCTTATAGCTTTCCTATGATCTCAGCCCCTCCTACAGTGTCAGTTTTTCATTCTTCCACCTGATGCCAGCTTCCATCCATGACCTCATTCAGAGTGCTCACCCAGGCACATAACACAATCTTTTGCACTGTGCAAGGCATAGCTGAGATCCAACCCTTGCCTACTCCCAGGCCACTCTGATATATGTCTCTGTTTCCAAGAAGCCACCAATTTCCAATGTCCACTAGTAATAGGGCCTCATAGAGCTCAATTATCTTTAGCACTGACTCTACAATTGCCCACATCACAACTCTCAGAATAGACTTCCTTCAAACAACAACAGCAATAACCACATTAAGGTGTTGACCGCACTTGTCCTGTCCATGCAAGAATGTTCATCGCCTCATTTCATCCTCATCAGTCAGATGAGGTTGAAACTGAATGTATCTCCATTGTACAGATGGGGAGACTGAAGTGCAGAGAGATTACAGGACATGCCCAATGTCACATTCCAAAAATGAAGCTTGTATCAACTTCAACTATTAGAGTCTTACTCACTGCACTAAGGACCTAAATGAGTCCATTTCTATGTCTACTTAACAAATAATCACTGAACAGAGAGGCTTAACCCAATAATCATTTCTTTGCTTATGTATGTGAACTGGCAGTTTGGATGTAGCTCAGCTGGGACACTTCTTTTCTGCTGTATATGGTTATTGCCAGAATCTACTACCACATTTGTAGTCAGCTAACTGGCTGATAAGCGGGCTGCTCCTTTATGGCCTCATTCACATGTCTGTCAGTTGACTGGAGCTGTTGTTTCGAGTGCTGTGGTTCTCCTCCGTGTGGCTTCTTCAGCAAGCTAGCCAATGCTTCCTCACAATTAGCCTCTAAAAGGAAGAAAACAAAAGCAACAAGCACTCTCGAGGCTCAGAAGTGCTATAGCATCACTTTCACTGCATTGTATTGATCAAGGCTAGCCACATGGCCAGCTCAAATTCAAGGAGAATAGAAAAAGGTTCCATCTCTTGATGGGAAAACATCAAAGTCATATTGCAGAGTCATGTGTACAGAGTTCAGCAGAATTGTTGTGATCCTCTTTGCAAGCAGCATCCCACACCAAGTGACCAGGTGTTTGGAATTGCTTAAATTGTCGTAACGGATAAACATGACTTACTAATAACAAGAAGAGTTAATGTGTTTTGAGTCTTTAGTTAATGTCAGATACCAAACAAGATGTCTTTCATAGATGAACTCATTTAATCTTCACAGCAACGGTGTGGCAGGTACAGTTTAACCCCCATTTAGAGATTAAGAACTAAGTCTCAGAAAGGTGAAACACATGTGCAAGGTCACACAGAGAGCAAGTGACAAAGTCATAAAAGAGAATGAAAATACAGCGTCCTGACTTGGGAAACTGACCCTGATACTGTTACATAACAAAAAGTAAGAGACAAAACAAGGTTTGATCAGAACACATTTTAAAAAACATTTTAAAAAATGGGTAGAAGTACATGTGCTTTAGAGTCTTAGATAAAGAGACTTTACCACAAACTCTTAATGGAGTCTATAACCGAAGCAAGAAAGGGGGGAAATTAAAATACTTCTGTCTGCATTTGCAATTTTTTTCTATTTGAATTTTTTTTTTATAACAAACATGGATCCTAATTTCAACACTCCATAAAGAAAAACTGTGCTTTAAGATGTCCTCCAAAATGTCTTTCACCTATGTCTTTTTTCTGTGTGGTTTTCACTTTCACTCTTTTATTTTTTCCCCTTTTTTGACACTGTCCTCCCACCCCCCAGGCCCTTATCAACTCTGGCCTGAAGTTTTGTGACTACCACAAAGAGAGGGGTGGAGAGGGCCCCTGCTCACTCCCGCTCCCATGTGTCCTGAGATTGCCACTGGAGCAAAATTTATTAAACACAGTTCTCCTTACTTGCTCAAGTTTTCAATGGCATTGTGTCACCTTAGGGACTGTCCAGCCCCTTGGGCTAGCGTTTGTAAATTTGATTCCAACTTGCTTACATTCTAGTTCTGTCATTACATTCTAGTTCTGTCATTTACTAGCAGTGTAACCTTGGACAAGTTATTTGTCTTCTTTAGTCTTAGTTTCCTTATCTGTTCAAAAAGGAAGGAAGGGGGCCTTTCTGGTGGCGCAAGGGGTTAAGATGCAGCACTATGAAGCTATCTGCAACCACTGCACCATGAGTTTGATCTCTTGCCAGGGAGCTACCCACAGGGAGCAGCAGACCTCTCCTGTCTTGCCTGCTGCTCCCCTCAGCAGTGTATCTCAGTCAGTCTGTCTGTTCTGCTCCACACTCTCTCTGGTGAGTCCTCTCACCCCCCACTGTACTTATGTCCTATACCCAGTACTTGTATTCATAAATAAATAAATCTTTTTTAAAAAGGAAAGAAGGTATGAAGGGAGGAAGGGGAAAGAGAGAAAAGAAAGGAAGAAAGAAAACAATGAAAGAAGGAAGGGAAAGGGAGGGAGAGAAGAACATATAATATGACAAATTTTGTGGCAAATGAGATTGAGATTATTGTTTAGTTCCCATTTGGGAGTGGTTGATACTCCTTAATCCACAGATATGTTTTAGTTTGGCTATGCAATAAAAAAAATAGGTCTTGCTGGGCCTCCCCGGTGGCGCAGCAGTTGAGCGTTGCGTTGTGAAGCTGCCCGCAGCCTCTGCAGCGCCAGTTCGATCCCCAACTGCTCCCCGGCCACCGGAGGAGGGTCCCACAGGGCGCGCAGACCTCTCCTGCTGCCCGCTGCTCCCCTTAGCAGTGTA